GCATAATATCTAATTATCTCATTTTTAAGAGTGAAAACACTAATTTGGCGAATCATCTTGTTAACCTACTCAAATTAAAGGTAAATACAGTTAATGTAAGAAATTTCTACTTATTTCTAGATTGTTTTTGCAGTGTGCAAGAAAGCAACACTTCAAAAACTTCCTGAAAATAAGTTAAAATGTCTTAAAATAAATGTATTTTCCCATTAATTTGATTAGAAAAATAAGATGATCTGCCATTAGAATGAGTATTTCTACCCTTAAAATAAGGAATTAGATTTTATGCACTTTAAACAAGACACTGCTGCCTTATTTTCTTATTTTAAACACAAATTTTCTTATTCTGTTTGCAAAGTTATTTTAAGATAAAATGACTTATTTAGATTTTTTTGTTGTTGTTGTTTCCCAGTGTGGAACTACTGTTGGGTCACAACAGGTCGCCACTGTTAGGGAGCTGCAGATACGAGTCACCAGGTCTCCATAAAAACAATAATCTAGTTCCTCATGGTGACTGAAGGCAGAGAAAGTTAATCGGAAACTTTAAAAATGGCCGAACGTCTCTGGGACGTCACTGTTTGGATCTTAAATAGGGCTGGACAATATTTAATAAGTAACGGTAACTATAGAGACGATATCAGGTCCCATATTTATCCGTTTTCTATTCCTCCTCATCTGGGCTTCAGTCACTCTGACCTTTAACAATATTGGCGACGCTATTATCTCCAGTGTTAGCATCTCCTGCCATCAGACTGTCTAAACTAAACATTAGCATAAAACTAAAGGTTAATACCTGCTGGAGCTGATTACAGGACAATTATTTGACCCTAATATTAACACTGACGACGTAACCATTCTGTTTGGCTGTAGCCCTGATCTAAACACGGGGAAATTAAAGTGACTTTTTCCAGACATCAGGTCAGGTTTCTGAAGCATGAAATCACCAGTCTGAATATAGTCTGTGTGCTGAGATGGATGGTGATGCATTCAGGAAGTCCACAAACTGTAGTTAAAAGCCTTCAGCTGATCCAAAATGCTGCAGCCAGAGTTCTGATAAAGATGAAAAAGAGAGATCATATCTCTCCTATCCCAGGGTTCCTACAGCATAAGGCAAGTTAAATTCAAGACTTTTTAAGACTTTTTAAGGACCCGTGGGAACCCTGTATCCTGGCTTCTCTTCATTGGCTTCCTGTTAAATCCAGAATAAAATTCTCACATAGAAAGCCTTAAAATCTGATATCAGATTGTGTATCTGGTTAACCGTTTCTGTGTCCTAAAGAAAACCAGGAATATTTTTCCATTTTTCTGAAAGAGGCCAGTAGGATTTTCGTTTCACGTTGCAGTGATGTAGGGACGACGTGACGTCGTAGGAGAATAACGCAGCTTTATTTTTATCTGATCTGGAGAGAACAGTTTGCTTCACTTAAAGTATTAAACAGTAAAATGTTATGAATAAACCTTGTTATGGGAATAATAATGTCTGAGTTAAATTGCATATCGGGCAGAGTTAAATTACCTGTAGATAATGGGAAAGGTTTTGCAGTTCTATGGTAGTAGAACAAAAGGCAAGGTTCTGGGGAATTGTCAACTGCCCAAGGAGACATTTTTGATCAAATGCTAACAGCTTTAAAGATAATTAAAAATCAAATACTGGAAAATTAGCTCAAACAAAGTCCTCTTCTTCTCCATTAAAAAAAAAATCATCAAATAAATAAATGTAATCTAACAACAACTTAACTGTTTTTAATATTCTTTTTTTGTTTCTGCATTTTTTATTTTATTTTATTTATATTTTTATTTTTCCTACTTGCTTTGATTCTGTTTTATCTTCCTGTATTTTAATCATGTAAACTTTGCATTGTCTTTGTACTGAATTGTGCTATACAAATAAATTTGCCTTGCCTTGCCTTGCCTTGGTCTACAAACACCCCCATTCAGGCATTGTGTGGCCTTGCAGGTGAAACAGGCTGAGTGAAAATAAGCATAAATTAATATATGAAATAATAGAAATCTAAATTTTCCGACCACTGGGACGTACTGATCATTTTTACTACTGAGGATCCTTTCTTTGTTGAATAAAGAAGTATATTTTTACTTTAGCTAAATCTATTTTTAGACTTCTCAAACATTTTTTTCCATCCTGTATAATAATTAGAAGCAGCTTCTATTCAAACCAGAAACCTATAGAGAAATTTAATCCATTTTGGTTCATTTCAGTTTCATTTTATTACATTCTTTAGATCCCAAACCTTTGTTGTAAAGATCATTTTTTATTTTAGGCCTTAAAGCATCGCCTCATACTCTTGGTCTGTCTGGTTTAAATGTCTTTCTGCTTCTTTTCTGTGTTAGAAACGGTTAAATGTTTCCTTTGGATTCCATGTATTATGAAGAGTCAAAGACAATGACAGATCGTCTTCTTGACTCTGGACTGAGCAGCGTCTGCTCGGCTTTCGGCTTCAGCTCATTTAAATCCAGAACATGTTCGTAGCTACAGTTCGCCCATTAACAGGCCGGCGAACCTCCCCGACACGTCCAGACGTGTCAGTGGAAACACACAGAGACAGAGCGGCGGTTTGATCCACCCGCTCTTTGCGTTTTAAGGCATGTATTATTGATTAGAACAAGCAGCGGTGAAGTGGAGCGCGCCGCCACAGCTTTGTTCAAGGGCAAAGCAGCAAGTTCAGCACTTAGCCGTCTGACAGGCGAGAGAAGAGGCAGAGAAACAGACGGAGAGGGTTAAACCCGACCGAGGAGACACCAAACCGAGGCTCAGAGCGTTTGGAAACATCTGAGGCGACGCAGAGGCCGACTTTAAGGGATTGAAGCAATAAGCTCACTGTTGGAGGAATCAATGCTGACCCCAGGTCTGCGTGTCCACAGGGGGTCATTATGGCTCCGCACGTCAACATGAAGATCACGCCACAACCTCAGTGAAACAGAAATAACTCCCAGAGGCTTTGAGACCCAACCAGAGGTAAACCACAACACCTGGATCTCCTCCCTACATCCAGCCACCGAGTCAAAGACCCTCGGCGTCCATCTTTCATCATCTATAAGGGCTTAAAGCGGCAACGATGAGGGTTGACCCCTAAAGACTAACAGGGCAATGCAGGAAGCTATCTGAAGCTGCTAGCACGCCATTAAACGTTTTTTTTGTTTGCACTGTTGGAACTATCCCAGTTCAACTAAACAGGATATTCTACAAGGAATTTCCTCCAGTTTGCTCTGGAAGGAATGGAAAAAAAAAATCTTCCAGTTTCTTCCACTTGTCCAGCTTCTCTTTAGATCTTAATGTCCACAAATAATGACTATAGGACCAGCCAAGGACCAGCCAAGGACTAGCCAAGGACCAGCCAAGGACCAGCCAAGGAC